AAAAAACTTCATTTTATGCCAAACCATTGCCCAAAATATACCAGAAAACTGCCAAATAAAACGTGACATTGTACTAGCTTTAAATCAAAAGCTCTAGATTGAATTCTTCACTGTCCTCCTTCCTCACTGGAACAAGTGGAAGATACAGCGTAAACCTTTTCGGATGTAAAATCTTTAAGCATTTTCTTAGATGGGATAAAGTCTTTGCAGCTCATCTTTAATGATGGCATATTTCTTGTTCCAAAATCTCAGTAAGGTCATCCTTAAGTGAAGGCGATATAATATATTTTTTTTATTAGGCATGAACATTCAGTTCTATGCAACTGTACGTACTCCACTATACTCCCCCGTTCGTGCGCTCTCATGATTTCACTTAGATGATCAATTGTGAGTTTTGCACAATTGCAGGTCATGCCTACAGCAAGTTGCAACTCTGATTCCTTTAACTTTATTATTACTTTGCCTAGGAGTCATTGTTGTAATACGCGGTGACTGGCTTTTTGACGGAGTTTTCATTCTGTTTTTTTTTTTTAATTTTTTTATTTCTCATGATTTGATATGCTACTGCTACTAATTCTTTGTGCAACAGTGCACTAACACAGTTTACAATATGCTGCCTCTGATCCGTCTGAAGATCTTTTGGGCCGTGGTTATGTTTTCTTCCAGTTACTATTATACTTGCGATGTCATCAGATGCTTTCCATTAGGGAAGGGGGGAGGGTGGTGGGGGGGGGGGGGGGGGGGGTTACGTGGCCATTGGTAAAAGTAATAAAATCTATAACAGAACTAGGTCTATATCCTCTCTATTTTCTGTCCTCACGTAGTTTCTGAATAGCTTGCGTCACTTGGTATCAGTGGTGGGTTTTGGTTTTATATCCCACATTAATTCTAGTAGATTAATTAACATAAATTACAGAGGGCCTTGGTTTATCTAAGTCACGATCCGGCTAGGAAGACAACAAATACAATAAAAAATGGTTCGAATCTCCGTTAGTCCGTACCAGGACATTACAACAAAGTCAAACTGAAATAAATATGGTAACTAAAGGTCTACATTGCTTTTAGTGAAACTGCGTGTGTCTAACGGAGGAAATGTGAAGCAAAGGTAAGTACATCTTGATATGAAAAGCCAGGAAAAACCCAAATATGCCCCCCCCCCAAAAAAAAGCCAGTTCATTATCTTATGCCAGTTTAATTTCAAATATGCCAAATTTGTGCAATCTGGCATAAAAATGCCAAATTGGCAACCCTGAGCATGCCTCGACCCGCCGAATCATGCTTAAAGAATCACTCAGCACACAAACACACGGGAATAGTCCTGTGATCCCAGCCACACGAAAGCCTGTGTCACCGCCATCACCTCCATTCTCATGCTGCTGGTAGTCATGGAGAAGGCACCGCTGGCTTCTTGAACTGTTCTGCCTGAAGAGCGAGCTCTTACTGCCCATGTACTCTTATGTCCTCGTATAACGGACCCGTCTGTGAAGATCATCCTCATGTGGTGCTTCAGATCTGAGCTTATCTTGGGGTATGCACGAGAGCTTGATCCTGTAGTTCATGGTAGGGAAGTCAAAAAGGTACCTCATTGCTAAACAAGAGGTGTCTCCAGAGCACCCCAGAATAATACGCTTTGCTTCGTTTTGCAGCTTCTCAAGTCTTTCAATCTGAGTATGGCCGACAGTGATGATGGCTAGAGCATATTCGATGGGAGAAAGTGCCAAATCAGTATTGCTGTAAGGTGCGGAAGCAGGAACAAACAAGCATCTTGCTTGAGATTTGATGCCTATTCCAGAGCTATACTCATTCAATTGTTTAATAATTTGTCCCATTTACTTCAATGTTTTATGAGGAATACATTTTTTTTTTCTTTTTGAAGATGACTATAATTTATGTTTTACTGCAAATTAAATTAATTCAAAGCCTAGCTGATGATTGATTACTATTATTGCACCCACTGAGTATTGCAGATCCGTTTGATCTAAAACTAAAACTGTTTTGTGTCAGATCAGCTATATATATATATATATATATATATATATATATATATATATATATATATATATATATATATATATATATATATATGGGATTCTGAAGAAAGTAGTTTGCCATTGCTTTCCTTATTGGCAGTGACCATACTGGTCAGTTACTTTCTCTGTTGCTTCTGACTGACAACAGGCACCATCAGTATGGGAAATCTTTTACTCACTGTTGAGGAGGGAGATGGAGCTTGTTTGGGCTTGTCCTGAATGATGTGAGATCGAATCTCTACCAAGATGATTCGAAGAGATGAAGTGGACTGACCAGCAGTCAGCAGCAACTGGCGACCCAACGACAAGCGGTGTTATGGGACTTGATGATTGCGTCTTAAGACAGGGAAAGAAGAAGATAATGATGATACGGCGCTGATAATGATTATGAAAGGACAAATGATCATGGGTATTCTTAAGGGACAAATTCAATCATTGCGTTTTAAATTCCGCGAGAAGGGGAAAGTAATCGAAAAACCAGGAAGTGGTTTCCGCCGTCTGCTGGGCAAAAACAAACACGGGGCAGGGAGAGTCGTGTCTTCAGTGGCTGGCTTTCTTAGCGCGGTGAGAGCTGTTCACCTGTTTGTTTGTTGTTTCGGATAATCTCATTCATGTTAGTTGCGTGGCTGTATCCCAGTGCTGTATTTATATGTGCATGTATTGCATCCTTGTATTTATATTATGGGTTGCATTGTATATGAATGATTATGTATGCCTGCCTCTGTACCGGATCCTGCAGGTTCATAGGTCATAACTTTAAATTATTGGGAGCGCAATGAATGGTATAGTATTAATAATACTATGAACCACTATTATTTATTATTAGTAACACACTGTAACTTACGATGCGCGCCGCGAAAGTCAAATAAGAAGTGTTGGCATAAAAACAGCTAGCTCATCGCGCGTAGTAGAAATAGAAGTGGAAAAAACCTTGTAGATCCAACCAAGCGTGAACGAGTCTACAGGAAATGTAAGAGAGGCAATGAAACTGTAGATGACAGATGAAATTAAATGAGGCGCAAAATTTAGAGTTTTTAATTTTCACATTAAATAAGCACCGCTGAATGAAGCAAAAACTTGGAGAACGACTATAGATAACGTATATAGTATAGCAATTACCAATAAACTACACGTGTTCGTTTACTGGTGCCGGCATGGAACAAAAGCACTGACATATGACAGTATCACCATCGCAAATAATATAGAGAGAACTAAACAAATTTCGGTGAATAAAGAGTCAAAGAAAAGACTAATGCTGGAAAGAAGACATGAAAGCAAGGAAATAATATATCTATAGAATCATTGTACTTGAATCCATGCGGCAGAGGTAGAGGTAACTTTCTAACACAAGCAGGGGAGACATTTAGAGACATAAATAAGCCATATGTGAAGAAACAGGGGTGGAGCTATAGAAAATGGGGCTCTCCTGTCAAATCCGGAGGAAGAATAAAAAGCCTTGGACGACTTAGTCAGAGTTCTCTCCCTTGGCCGCACTGCAAACAGTGATAGGAAAAGCCAACGAAACAAACGACACACTTTCCTATCATCAGACGGTTGCGTGTAGGGCTGCGTACGGTTGCTTGAGGCATCGTGAATGGTTGTGTAGTCATGATGCGGTTGTTGGGTTAGAGGTAGGGTTAGGGTTAGATGTGAAAATTTTGACGTAGGGTTTCGAAATACTGGCCGACAATCTGATGTTTGTGGGCGTGGCGCCACTGAAATTCTGCTAAATATGACGCCAATAGTGTGTGGCTGGTGCCCAATCGTTGGCGAATTGTGCATTTGACCAGCATCCAGAGGCCCTCAATTGTTTGTGTGTGTATGTGACTGTGTACGGCGTCGACGAATGTGGTCTGGTGGACTACTACCTCGTGCAGATAGATGCCATGCCGTAAGTTTGCCACGTTGCTGTAGCCTCGCCAAGCGTCAGTCACGATAGTCGTTCCCGGCAACTAAGTCGTGCGTCGGAAGAACGATGTTAGTTATGTGAGTGCGTCTAACTGCCATGTTGCTTGTGTCGTTTGTTTCGTTGGCTTTTCCGATCACTGTTTGCAGTGCGGCCAAGGGAGAGAACTCTGACTAAGTCGTCCAAGGCTTTTTATTCTTCGTCCGGATTTGACAGGAGTACCGAAAATGGTGACAGATAGAAAGATCTAACATATCTTGGTTCAAGGCCGGTGCTTTTTTGTAGAATAATCCATAGATAGTCTGGAGAAGGACACTCACTGAGTCTACATGTCCATTCAAGTAGCTAGCTAATCCTGCCTTTAGGTGGCTATTGTAAAACTTGTTCAGTGTTCTCAAATATCTCTAACTTTCTCTAATTGTTGGGGGGAAGCATCTGCTGATTTAACGTTAACATTTTCCCCATTTCTTTTCTTGGATTTTGCAAACCAACCCTGGTATTTGCTGGCTGTTTGAAGTTTTAATTGATAATATTATTGCTTTCTGAATGGTCACTTGTTGAAATAGTGTTTATTCATATGGAACTTATCAGCTTTTTTTATAAATGTAAGTGCTTTTGATGCTTTTCTGTCAGTGTACACAACACCGTATACTTCCATGACTACATAATTCTACTGTCGAAACTTCTGAAATTTGTAACTATATTTAACTCTTTGAGTCCCAAGGAACGCATCATACGTTCATAGGTTACTGCCTAGAAGCCCAATGAACGCATGATGCGCCGATTTTAGTCTCTTTTGACTACCCCTTGGGCCTGTGATGCTTGACCCTCTTGGACTCAAAGAGTTAACATTTAAATGGGTCATAACCAACCATTTTGTACTTTTCAGACAAGAGTAAAGATATTGGGATCACAGTCTAACAATTTTAGCCAAACCTGGCCAACTTCGACTTCAGCCGTCTGGACTATGAAGGCGTACTGTCACACTATAAGCAAGCATTGAGCTGTGGTTGAAGAACTGTCTCAGATCAGGTGCATCACACACCTCTGTAGAAGACTCAGCCATGCAGGATCTGGTGACGATGATTAGTTTCATCATGCTAAACATTCCAGCATTTGGTGATGCATTAGCCTTAACAAATAGTTCCAGAGGATTCTTACCACACGACAGCCATGACACCTACAACAACATGACTGGTACCAGGCACAATGATTCTCATGGCTCAGATGGGCATGATGCAGAAGGACATTCTCGACACGGAGGCCTACATGTTGCAGCTATAGCTTATGCGGAAGTACGAGATCCACTGATATTTACCATTGTTGTACTACTGGCCGGCATCAGCAAAATTGGTAAGAATAAAGAATTTACAGATTAAGCCAAATTTGGCCTCAAGATGCCGATATTTAGACTTCACCATCTATTACAAATGCAAGTGAAGCCTGTATCTTGGCTTTGCCACATTGAACAGTCCCCAACAATCCTAGTTAATGACATTGGTTCTGTTTGCATGTGTGCAATGTTTAGGCGGGAAAAAAAATGATTATACTGACTAAAAAAATAGCATGGGGTGTACAGGGGTGTTGTGGAAAAAAAAAATTGCTATTTTGAATCATTATGTAGTCATAAAATCAGTCACATTGACTGGGTGGCTGAATGAGTCATAATATAAATCTTTTGACATCCAAGGGAATGCATTCCATTTAAGTCTCTAATTTGTTCATGTATATTGATTACTCCCTTTAATATATTTCTAAAATATTTTGAAATGTGTATTTATAAATTTAAAAAACAATATTTAGTGACCCTTATAAAAAAGAATTTTTAAGGATATTTTTCAGGAATTCTCGATGGATGACCTTTTTCCCACAATGTTTTCTTAGCAGCAGTGTTAAACCATTCTGGATTATCTTCCCCTCCTCCTGCCTGTTATCTTACAATAAAGCATAGACTGATGACCAATTTATGCACAGCGCGGGGGCTGCGTGGTCGCGAGGCATGGTGTTCGCCTCGAGTGCTATGATGGTATTCCTGGCATCTCTGCTGCTTGTAGAGAGCAGGTCTGCAGCACATGTTGAGTATTCTGTGTTGCTCATCTAGATGCGTACAGTTCTGAGTCGCCAGTCATGAATTTCTTGTACATGCGCCTGCAGAGTCTCTTTTAAACACAATGGTTTGTTTCTTTCATATGAGGAGCTTGATTGGGTCTTGTGGATTATGTTTGGATCGGAAGTGTTCCAATGGCTGCTTTGATCTGGGTTTTATTTTTCTCACAAATGCATCCTGCATCTGACTGTTCTGTAGTGCTTCCAACAGGGAATTGGGAGATGTGAAGCGCCAGTCAGTTTGTCTTTTTTAGACGGTGAACGTTAAAACATTGTTAGGCTAAAGTACTTTCACACTCGAGACATACTGCCATAGATAAAGAGTAGTATTCAGGAACGAAATCGGGAATTGATTGCAAATGTCTCCATTTTGAAATATAATGTAAAGCTGTGGGGCATTCTGAGAGTTTAACAGAATTCACTATATCAGCAAACAAGTAGACTTACAACCATTCTGTAACAGGATGTGAGAGAGAACACGGACAGAATGAGAGAGAGAGAGAGAGACAGCACAAAATATAAATGAAGTGGATGTCACAAGTATAAAGTGGCCACTTCATGTCTAGCTTACACCTACACATTAAATAAATGGCTCTTAAACTTGCTTTTCTTGGGGCCAGTTTTTGATGTAACCATGCATGTCGACATGTAGTTAGTGTAAGAGCAGATAGGGTGGCTGGTTCCGTCATATCAGTGGATCAGACTATGAAACAAGCAATATTATAAATATACAATATTATAAATATACTAGGAAAGTTTGGGAGCTGTAGAACAGAACGAAACAGATTCCAGTGAACCAAGAGGTGAGAAAAGATGGTATTGGCTAGGACACACATTGAGAAGACCTGAAAATAATATAATTAGAATGTCTTTGCACTGGAACCCACAAGTTCAAAGAAACAAGGGAGTCCAGAAACTCCTTTAGGAGAGAGTTAGATATTATGAGGAGTAAGATAAAAATAAAAACATGGATGAGCTGCACACGCTAGCAAAGGTCAGGATGATGAGGGGTGAGTTGGTTGAGGGCTGTGCTGCGCCGTCGGCTTGAAGAGGAGACAATAAGGGCTTTCAACCCAGTGAATTAACATCAGCTTGGATTAGTCAATTCATGCCTTTAAAAATGTACATCAGGAGATGTGAAAGATCATACACATAAGCAGGCGTATTCTGAGCACCAAGGAGAATTGGCTCATTAACAGCATCCTATCTTGAAAGCTGAGGTATTTTGGCCATGTTAAATGTCAGGTTGGCCTGGAGAGAGTGGTGATGGAGGGTAGAGTTTCTGGATAATGAAGCAGAGGCAGACCTCCATGAAGGTGGATATAAGACACTGAAGATGCATTGGCTATGAAAGCACATAGAGCTGGAGAATTGGTGACGGGATGAGAACAACATACTGGGAAGGACCTGCTGATTGATGATGATGTAGCGGACTTATTGAGATGTAATCACATCAAGGATTCACTCATGTGTAGCTGTGTTTCTGTTACAGGGCCTGGCAGAACCAATGCCATCAATTATTTAGTGAGCTGTTTTGTGGTTTTAATAGGCAATTTTGTGCACAGTATTTTGCCAAATAGCCTGCAGATGAATGTAACCAGGTATTTCAGAATTAAGGAACAAAATTTGGTCGCCTAAGCCACAAATGCCTACCTGAAATAGACAGATAATTTGTCTCGAAAAATACAGATATCTTTGAGACTATTATCCATGATGTTTAAAAAAAAAATTATATATGTAAATCGTTTGAAAGGGACTTTTACTGTATCTTTCAGGGTATGATCTTTATTTTTGTATATGAATCTAATTATACAAAAGCAATCTTCACTGAAAAAACAAATCCATCTTTCAGGTTATCACCATGCCAACTTCCTGTCCAGCCAAATTCCAGAATCATGGTATGTGTGATCAACTGTATATACCATGGTATGTGTGATCAACTGTATATATCATGGTATGTGTGATCAACTGTATAAAAGATGGTAAATCTGATGAAATTTAAAAAAAGTTTTAAAAAAATGTAGTCAACTCCAAGGCATGTATATGCCTCACAAGGTAGCAGTAATTGTTGTCTGATACTGTACTAAAAAGTTCTTTTAAAAGTAATTGTATAACACGGCATACATTGCATTAAAAGGTTGTTGAAAATATAATCATATGGCATATACTGCACATTAAAATGTAATTGTATAGCATGCACTGCATTAAAATATTGTTTTTAAAGGTAATTGTATAGCACACATTGCATCTGAAAAAGGATGGTTTAAGGGTAATTGTTTAGCACACATTGCATTAAAGGTTTGTTTTAAAGGTAACTATATAGCACACTGCATTAAAAGGTTGCTTTTAAGGTAATTGTGTAGCATAGATTGCATTAAAAGGTTGTTTTAAAGGTAGTTGTATAGCGCACATTGCATTTAAAAAGTTGTTTTAAAGGTAGTTGTTTTGCACACATTGCATTAAAAAGGTTGTTTTAATAGTAATTGTATAGCCCACATTGTATTAAAATGCTGCTTAAAATATAACATACACTGCACTAAAAGGTAATTTTATGGCACACACAGCACTAAAAGGTAATTGGTACACGCTGCACTAAAAGGTAATTCTGTGGCACACACAGCACTAAAAGGTAATTGGTACATGCTGCACTAAAAGGTAATTCTGTGGCACACACAGCACTAAAAGGTAATTGGTACATGCTGCACTAAAAGGTAATTCTGTGGCACACACAGCACTAAAAGGTAATTGGTACATACTGCATTACAAGATAATTTTCTGGCACACAGATAATGCATTGAGAGGGAATGATAAAGGTAATCATTTGGCACCTATTTGATTACAAGGAAATGATAAAGAAAGTGTTTTGTTTGGGTGTGATAAGAAAAGATGCATCAGAGAAAATAATGACAACTGGAAAAAATCAGCAGTAGAAGAGCCAGACTGAGAGAAATGACTTTGGACATCAGTAACAGATCAAGGAGAAGTCATACTCCAGACATCAAGAAATAAAGTAACAGATCAGGTTACTTATTTAAGTAGCAATTTTGATTGCCAATATAACATAGAGAAAGAAAATATACACACTGTCAAGGCAGCAGCAGCCTTTTAACAACCTGAACTAAATAATGAAAATCTAAATTTTATAGTTTCAATTTTATAGCAGCAAACTCATGGGTTTACTACATCCGCAGGAGCTTAATACCCAACCCTTGTATGAGACTTGTGTGTTGTTGGGTGTTTTACCATGCCCTGTTTAAAGATAAAATTCAGGCATAATCATATTGTGGCTGGTGCATATAAGTAAAGGCAGCAGTATGGTGCATTGGCTGGTACTGAAATAGTTAACTGTGAACCATGAGCAGTAAGTAAACAAACAAATACGTTCACTGCAGGCCTCAGAGGTGTTTTACAGTTGAATCATGCAAAGTCTTCTGGGTCTCTGAAAATTAATTCTTCTAAACCTTATGGTGAAAATGTCATTGATTTAGTTTGCATTGTTTCAGCATTCTGATTATCCTGGGCACTTGCTTTGGTGCAGTGATTCAGTAAGTTCTTTGTTAACCATTATGTGTTCTCTTTTTTGTTATTGTGAAAATTGTGCTTTATGTCAGCTGTTTTAAAGTTTGCTTCTATTGGCTTCCTCATGAGCAAGGAGATTAAGAATGGTTTAAGTTTACCAAAGGATAGATGCCTCGTTGTCTGCCCAAAGATCTTGGGTTCAAATTTTTCTCGAAATTGACTTTGCCTGCCAGGCTGACCCAGCCTAAAGTGGGTACCAGGCAATTTCCTGGCAACTAAAAGCGACCAATGTAATGTTGACCCTATTGGGTACCAAGCAATGTCCTGGCAACTAAAAGCGACCAATGTGATATTGACCCCATTGGGTACCAGGCAATGTCCTGGCAACTAAAAGCGACCAATGTGATGTTGACCCTATTGGGTACCAGGCAATGTCCTGGCAACTAAAAGCGACCAATGTGATGTTGACCCTATTGCTCACCGAGTGCCAATTAGTTGGAAAGGAAAACAATATAGTGAAATATGTCCAGTGCATTACTAGCATAAAAAAATTTGTTAAAATAGAATGAAGGAACATGTTCTTAGAATAAAAGTAAAGTAAAGATCCCTTTTCGCGCCTTCAGGCGTATTGGGTCAATAGGAAGAGCGCCCATATTTTTACAGACCATCGGCACTAGGTGGGTAATGTGGTCAGCATTACGCCGGCCGTCTTTACTTCCCCAGGATCGCCATCCTGGTACCCATTTTAGGCTGGGACGACCTGCGACGACATGTTCTTAGAATGACTGTGAATGACAATGAATAAGAAACTGAAGAAGATGTGTGAAGAATGAGAGGACATTGTATGCAAGTTGAGTCAGAAAAAAGGCTACATGTTTAATCACTTGACTATGGGAATGAGACCATAAGAGAGACACTTCTTTGAACAAACAATACACAACAATACAAGTACTGACTCACTTAATTGGCTCAGACTGCTCACTGTATTCATCACATCCTAATCGGCGACACTTTGCAAAGTCACTCACTGCTTTCTGGTACAGTCACACTGGAACATGTAGCCATATTTCTGAAGTTTAAGGATTGTGCCTTTTGCATTATTTACCATACACCAAACATTACGGAAATTGATTTAAGCTGTGGATCTGGCCCAGGGAAGCCACATTGCGAGAGAAGCCATGGGGGACCCGCAGCGACCTAAAACGCACAGTCATATTTGTGACCCAGACGGGACTCAATGTTTAGCATGACTGATGTTGACACAGAAGAAGAAGATGGAAGCTGTAACAGTAAAAATGAACAATCCCACCTTGTGCAAGCAAAAAGAGCACACAGTAAATGTCAAACTTCCAGGGTAATCACATGGCTAACTTGAACTTAAAGTCATAACTTGTATAACTAAAGAAAACACTGTGATTTGTGTATTTCAGAGGGAAGGATTAATGTTTTGTGCTTCCTTACCTCTCAGTGCAACTCTCTAGTAATAAACCTAACGAGATACAGCAAAATCTTCAGGCAATAAATAATACAATATAATGTTTGTGTAAACGTGGACCTCAACAGCTGAACTTGAAAAAAAGATACAAGCAATAGAAATGCGATGTTTCACAAAAATTCTTGGCATATCATACAGAGACCACATTACCAAAGAAGAGGTTCGCCATAAAATTATACAGCATATTGGCAGCTATGAACCTCTTTTAACTAAAGTGAAAAATGCAATGGTAAGGACATGTAATAGGATCTAACAGCCTCTTAAAAACAATACTGCAGGGTTCAGTAGAGGGAAAGAGGAGAAGAGGCAGACCAAGAAAGACCTGGTTACAGAACCTGACTAACTGGACAGGCCTCAGGCACGCAACCATGAAGTCCATCCCAACTGACCGCCAAAGGTGGAGAAAGATGATCAGACAGTTAACAGAAAGTGGTGACCAAACGGCACGTAGTGTTATGGGATGATGATGATGATTGTTTGTGTCCACACTATTTAAAATTAAAAATGCTAAGAAGCCATGAAACAAAATTTAGTTTTTTTCTGCACAGTTTTTCTGGTATCTCCAAGAACTTGCCAGAGTTCTTCAAGCCCCATGAGTTTTTCATTTTTTTGCTGCCTCCGTAAGTATGTTAGTTAGGTTTGGAGAGTAGCTACTTGGATAATTCAGTGGTAATTTAGTCTTATCTCTTTGATTGTTAGTAAAAATATGATGGTTTATCTCTTTATCCAAAAGTGAAATGTTAACCATTACTGTCAGCCATAACTGTTAAGGTGAACTTGGTTTGTGTTAACAGCATGTTTATGTTTATAGACTATCGGTTAATAGAGTTGTATGTTTATAGAGTCGTAACTTAAATTTAACATGGTTAAGGTGATCATGTTAAAGGTAACATAAATAGCTGTTGAACCCTTGAGACCACAGACATTAAATGAACAGGCAGACACAATGGCTAGTTCTTTGTTCCCCCCCCCCCCAAAAAAAAAAACTGCTTGTAATTACCACTTTTGCAGTTTAGGCAAGGTGGCCTTTGAGCCTGAGAATTTAGGGCCATGTGACTAGTGCTGTCATCCATTGTGCAGGTTAGGATTTCATTTGGTGCTTTATTAATATCCTACCCCAAACAGGGAAAATCCACAGGTCACGGCACAGTCTAATATTCCAGGGGATGGTAGATAGGCTGCATGCAGTCATTGGACCTAGGCTGCATGCAGTCACGGGACGTAGGCTGCACTCCCTCGTAGGACGTAGGTGGGTTGGGGTTAAGGGCAGTTTTGGATGTTTTAGAGTCGTTAAAAGCAACAGAAAGCCAGGAAACCCAGTCTTACCACCCTCTGAAATGTTGGACTGTCCTGTGACATAATCTGGGATAGGATATTAATAAAGTACCTTTCATTTTTCCCTAAACTAAAAATTAATTCATGAACTTATAGAGGATTTGAACCTGAATCTCTTATAGGAGATCCTAGCTTTCTTAACCATTTGCCCAGCAGCTCTTCTGTATCACTTGGTGGCTCTTCTGATTCACTTTGTGGCTTTTCTGAATCACTTGGTGGCTCTTCTGTATCACTTGGTGGCTCTTCTGTATCACTTGGTGGCTCTTCTGAATAACTTTGTGGCTTTTCTGAATCACTTGGTGGCTCTTCTGTATCACTTGGTGGCTCTTCTGAATAACTTTGTTGCTTTTCTGAATCACTTGGTGGCTCTTCTGTATCACTTGGTGGCTCTTCTGTATCACTTGGTGGCTCTTTTGTTTCACTTGGTGGCTCTTCTGAATAACTTTGTGGCTTTTCTGAATCACTTGGTGGCTCTTTTGTTTCACTTAGTGGCTCTTCTGAATAACTTTGTGGGGTTCTTAATTTATAACGTACCCCAAACACGAAATCCCCGTGGGAAATCCACAGCTGACCTGACAGTCCATTATTTGAAGGGGTGGAAGTGTGCTGTTGTGTGGTGCTTTTTTTGAATTTTAATCTAGTGTCTTCTAATGCTAACCCTAACCCTAACCCCAACCCTAACCCTAAACTTGTCTGTAGATAAATCGCGAGAAGCTACAACCTGAACACCCTAGATTTTATTGGGAATGTCTTCCGTGACGTTGTCGTGACGTCTGGGGTAAGTTATAAATTAAGTACCCTTTGTGGCTTTTCTGAATCACTTGGTGGCTCTTATGTATCACTTGGTGGCTCTTTTGTTTCACTTGGTGGCTCTTCTGAATAACTTTGTGGCTTTTCTGAATCACTTGGTGGCTCTTCTGTATCACTTGGTGGCTCTTCTGTATCACTTGGTGGCTCTTCTGTATCACTTGGTGGCTCTTCTGTATCACTTGGTGGCTCTTCTGTATCACTTGGTGGCTCTTCTGTATCACTTGGTGGCTCTTCTGAATAACTTTGTTGCTTTTCTGAATCACTTTGGTGGCTCTTCTGTATTACTTGGTGGCTCTTCTGTATCACTTTGTGGCTTTTCCGAATCACTTTGTGGCTCTTTTGTATCACTTGGTGGCTCTTCTGAATAACTTTGTGGCTCTTCTGAATCACACTGTGGCTCTTCTGTATCACTTGGTAACTCTTCTGTATCACTTGGTGTCTCTTCTGACTCACTTGGTGGCTTTTCTGAATCACTTGGTGGCTCTTCTGTATCACTTGGTGGCTCTTCTGTATCACTTGGTGGCTCTTCTGTATCACTTGGTGGCTCTTCTGAATCACTTGGTGGCTCTTCTGTATCACTTGGTGGCTCTTTTGTTTCACTTGGTGGCTCTTCTGAATAACTTTGTGGCTTTTCTGAATCACTTGGTGGCTCTTTTGTTTCACTTAGTGGCTCTTCTGAATAACTTTGTGGGGTTCTTAATTTATAACGTACCCCAAACACGAAATCCCCGTGGGAAATCCACAGCTGACCTGACAGTCCATTATTTCAAGGGGTGGAAGTGTGCTGTTGTGTGGTGCTTTTTTTTGAGTGTTAATCTAGTGTCTTCTAATGCTAACCCTATCCCTAACCCTAAACTTGGCTGTAGATAAATCGCGAGAAACTACAACCTGAACACCCTAGATTTTATTAGGAATGTCTCCCGTGACGTTGTCGTGACGTCTGGGGTAAGTTATAAATTAAGTACCCTTTGTGGCTTTTCTGAATCACTTGGTGGCTCTTATGTATCACTTGGTGGCTCTTCTGAATAACTTTGTGGCTTTTCTGAATCACCTGGTGGCTCTTCTGAATCACGCTGTGGCTCTTCCGTATCACTTGGTGGCTCTTCTGAATCACTTGGTGGCTCTTCTGAATCACTTGGTGGCTCTTTTGTATCACTTGGTGGCTCTTCTGAATAACTTTGTGACTTTTCTGAATCACTTGTTGGCTCTTCTGAATCACTTTGTGGCTCTTCTGTATCACTTGGTGGCTCTTCTGAATAACTTTGTGGCACTTCTGTAACACTTGGTGGCTCTTCTGAATCATTTGGTGGCTCTTCTGTAACACTTGGTGGCTGTTCTGAATCACTTGGTGGCTCTTCTGTATCACTTTGTGGCTCTTCTGAATCACTTGGTGGCTCCTGTGTGTGTCTTGGTGGTAAATTGATGCTTGACAAGCTTTATGAGGTCAAGTTCCTGTTTAGAGAGACTGAACAGTATGGCAGCACAAATAGATCATGATCTATAGAGAATAGTGCAGCAGGGTTTGATCAAGGGATCTGGCAGACACTGGGTGGGAAAGGCAAGATGGCTACTGGTACTATTCGAATTAAAACTCTGTGCTGGCTGCTGAAAATGGCAACAAAATGCTTATGGGAACATCCCGAGTGCTGTGATGTCAGTTCATAATTCGACAGCTGACGCCATAGAAAACATATGATAAACAAATCAACATGAAATGATTGGCACCCCAGGTTAATCTTTGAGTCGTTAAATATCAGTTTGTTTATCAGGCTAAAGGTTAGTTAGTTACAAGATTATCCTCATTGCTCGTGAAACTATTCAGTCCGTAAGTGCTCATCAACTCCTGAGTAAATCCTGCAGCATGTACCGGCTCGCGACACCAGTTCTGTGTTGGTTTTCTTATTCTTCTTCGGCTTGCTACATAGTCCTATTATCTGGCCACACCCATTTTTACTTGCTTTTTTGCAGTCTTGTCACGGTCACAGACTCACAGTCACATGGTTCTCACAAAAGACTTACTGTTTGTAGAATATTCAGTATATTAGCCTGGTCCATTGTTCTTCCCCCTTTCATACTGGCCTTATCAGCAAGCCTGTCAACTTGCTCATTGCTTGCACACCTGTGTTCCCTGGCAAAAAAATGAAACTAATCTTTGTCAGTCCTGACCACATCAGAAACTAAAGGTTACAGTGGTTAAAGGTTAAAATTAGCAAAGTTAGGAGGGTGGAGTTTAAGGCTAAAGTTAGTGAGATCAAGGGGACAGAGCTGAATTATGTGAAAGTTTTGAATGAATTAGTTGCTGTCACTTCAGTTTACAATGAAAACATATTTAGATTAGCAAGCGCAGAAACTGGGCCATAGTTCTAACGATATAGAATTGAAGTCAAGGCTTACAGAAAGAAGTGTAATCGTTGAAAGGCTTTAAGTATTTCAACATGTCAATTGTATTGCATGTGTGTGTCCAAAAATAAAAAGTTGAAGCCAAGGTCTTAAAAAAAATTCCAAGGTCAGTGAACACAGGATATGGATTGCTTTGCCGTGATTTCAAAAATCGTATGGAGTACGAACCAATTAGAAAGTAATCCAAACAGCTACAGAATGCTGGGGTTAGGTCTGCAGTACACTGTAAAGGGTACATAACTAATTTTAATTAATTAAGGAGATAATAGATTGATACAGTAACAGTATAACTAGAATGTCTTTGCACTGGAATCCACAGTGGCATAGGCAGAAAGGCAGACAAAATAAGACATGGAGAAGAGAACTTAGAGAGTCAAGTTAAAAAAAAAAAGTTTGGCAGGACATGGAGTGAGCAAAGGATAGGACACTTTCACTTTCTGTCTCCATAGTAGTCGATCTGCAGCTGATTTTTCCCATATCTCTGTGCCTATGTTGGTATCTATTAGGTCACGTTTACATACATCTTTATAGCGCAGCTTTGGCCTTCTGGTAGGTCTATTCCCAGTTACCAATTCACCATATAGGAGATCTTTTGGAATACGACCATCCTCCATGCGGGAGACATGTCCCAGCCAGCGCAGACGTCTTTGCTTCAGTATACAATACATTGATGGTATTTTTGCTCTTGTGAGCACACATTCGTTGGAGACAAGGTCTCCATATATATGATCCTTACAGTATACAGTATGTTAGATATGTGTGATCCCTGCACTAGTTTAGGTAGCTGTGATTCCTTAGTATATTATATATGTGTGATTCCATAGGTACATTAGATATGTGTGATTCGTACAGTATGTTAGAATGTGTGATTTATACTCTCCATTAGATACATGTAATTCCTACATTATGTTTAGCTATGTGTGATTCCTAGTTTGTGGATTGTGTGTGATTCCTGCAATGTGTGAAATATGCAGTATGTGATTTCAACAGTTTATGAAGCTTTTTTGTGATGGCTGCAGTTTGGCTGTTAAACTGTGTCCTCGTGTGTTTATGCTTGTGTCCCAGAGTTTGCATGCAACCATTATCAACTTCGCAGAATCATCTTGGAGGCAGCCTTCAGTTTGCACGACAGAACTTTCACAGAAAACATCGGTAGCATCCTTCTGTTTGCAGTGTTGGTATGTGTGCTTGTCATGCTGAAGCAGTTGCTTCTCCAGCTTTGTGTGGGCCTCTTTGCCTTTAGTTGTTAATCATGATAAAAATACATCTCAATTTAGTGGTTGATGCTTGCTCCTTGCTTTTTACATCAGCCTTAATTTACTTGTGAATTTCTTACTTTATTGCTGTGTAAAAATGGGAAAAATATAGAGCTTTACAGAATCCAATACAAAAAATAAAGGATAATTTGGCCACAAGCCTTCATCAGTAAATACAACACAAAAAGAATAAATGTAAATAAACTAAATAAGGTTATTAAAATTATATGTCATTAAATGAAACAAAATAACAATAAAGGACATTAAAATAAGATGTCAAGCAAAGTAAAATAAAAAAAGTAAAGATCTCCCTCTTTTTTTTTAAACGTCCAAGGCCTATCAGAAATATGAAGCTAGACTCAGTTTTATAGACGAATCAGCACTCAGTTGATGATATGGTCAGCATCTCACTGGCCATCTTGACTTCCTAGGACATTAACACCTAGGACATTAACACCTAGGACATTAACACCTGGGACATTAACACCTAGGACATTAACACCTAGGACATTAACACCTGGGATATTAACACCTGGGACATTAACACCTGGGACATTAACACCTAGGACATTAACACCTAGGACATTAAGACCCAGGACATTAACACCTAGGACATTAACACCCAGGACATTAACACCCAGGACATTAACACCCAGGACATTAACACCCAGATAAGACTAGGCCAGTTTGGGAGCAAAGATCGGTTTTTAAAACAATCTACCTCAATGCAGGTTTGAACCTAAGACCTTTAGGCTGACAGGCACTTACTTTAATAAAACTTTGAAGTTTATTCTATACTCTGTGATTATCATTTACTTTATTAGGACCTTAAAAGTTAACTCCTTACTTTACAATTATATCACTACTTTAATAAAACCTTGGAAGTATTTTTCTATACTTTATGATTATCAATTACTTTATTAGAACCGTAAAAGTTAATTCCTTATTTTACGATTATATCACCTACTTTAATAAAACATTATAAGTTTTTTCTGTACTTTATGATTATCGCTAACTTTATTTATTGTCTCTTGTTGTGCTCTTTACTTTATTAATAGTCTCTTGTTGTGTTGTATACTTTATTGATAGTCTCTTGTTTTGCTCTTTACTTTATTGATAGTCTCTTGTTGTGCTGTATACTTTATTGATAGGCTCTTGTTGTGCTGTTTACTTTATTGATAGTCACTTGTTGTGCTGTATACTTTATTGACAGTTTCTTGTTGTGCTCTTTACTTTATTGATAGTCTCTTCTTGCGCTCTTCTCAGTCCTATGATATTATCTGAGCAGAAGTCAAACTACCCACAATACATTGAGACATAATGGGCATATGGTGCTAAGCCCTTTGTTTAATAGACCAGTCAACACTTCAAGAAGGATCTGGTCATTATCATGCCCTTTGCCTTTACTTCCCATCATATTTGTTGATACACATTTTAGGCTTGGCTGATTTGGGAGCCAAAATCCGTTTTTATGAAAACCCTCGCTGGATTGGGATTCAAACAATTGGCCACCAGACTGGTGGGAAAACTTGATAATAACCACTGTACCAGCACAGTGTTCTAGGCTTGCAGTTGAGGAGTGCTTTACCCAGGCGGGTTCCAAGGCCGTATTTTGGGGGAGAAAGGAATAGACCAACTGCCTCTTAACAGGCATGTTCTATAAGGTTACTGTTTTTGGAGTTTGCTGAAATCAGATCTAGTTGGGCTGAAAGGTGCAGACATTGCAACCTAGCTGTAAACCACAATACAAACTGCCCCTTTGTGGGCGAAGACAGAAGATGAAGAAGAAAAGGGAATTCAACAGTTAAAGCAAAGTAAAGATGCGACTGATAATGTTTTGTATAATTTTTGTTTTTTTTAACAGGGGACTGTTCTAGCCTGCATGTTGTTAGGTAAGGACATTTTCTTATTTTGTCGGTGTGTCTTGGGTGCTTCTTTTTTTTTTTTTTAAAATTTACCCCCTAAATTTATGGCTGTACCCTGAAACTAGTGTACAGTTCATTAAAAAGCAACAGGAGTGATAGTTTGGCCATGTGATGAGAATGTCTATGTAAAACAACCATAGGGAGCCCACTACCCGGTATCAAGCATGGCTTAAAGAGGACCCTTTCTCACACCTTCGGGCATATAGGGCTAGACCTAATTCTATAGACCAATCAGCACTTGATGAGAGATGTGGTCAACATCAAGCAGGCCTGCATTTACTTCCCAGGACTTTACCTGGTACCCATTTAAGGCTGAGTCGACCTAAGAGCCAAGGTGATTTTTGAAAATAATCCAGCTCCATCCGTACTTGAACCCATGACCTTCAGATCCGCAGTTGAGCATCTAGTCGCTACACCATGGCTTCTCCCCTTGGCTTAAAAGGTGACTAATTAAGGACTTGCTGAAATCACATATGTTGGGTCAAAAAGTGTAGATATCACAGCCTAGCTGTAAACCACAGCTGGCCTTTTAACTGTGAACGAAGAAAATGTCTATTACAGATGTACTTCCATGCCATGATGCCAGTCTGTCCACATCTTCTCTCTTTGACTTCCTGTGGTTTCCTTCCCCTTTATCATTCCCATTGTCACTACAGTTTTCTCATTATAGCACGCCCATAGAAATGTAGATTGTAATCTTCTGAAGCAGGTTATCAGTTCTCTTTGTGAGTTATCATAGAAAGATTTTAAACCAAATGAAAAATAGAGTCAGTAGCTTCACATAATCACAAACACAGACAACAATTGAACATTGCGGCTAGAGAACCTTCATTAGCACAAAACATGAATATATGGCCATATGGTGAGAAGGGTCTATGATAAATCACAGCTTTGATTTAGGTCTCCAAGAGAAACACATACACTACTCCGGTACCTTCAAGCATGTGCGAGAGGAATTAAACCTTCAGGACTGTCCTTTCAGAGAGGAATCATACACCTTCGTTTCACCTTCAAGAGGCATACCTTCATATCTCCTGGGTTAACTGTCAGTCCTAATAATTTTTCTATTAGATTTATCTGTCCGTGTTTCAGAATGTTTTCTGCAGATTCTAAAAAGACTTGTGGTCAACACATCAGGGTAAGGTGCAACCACAATGAGCCAAGATTTTTTTTACTTCCCAAAACTCTTACTCTGGTACCCATTTATGGCAGGGAAATATAGCGACCTAAGATCCAAGGTGATTTTTGAAAAATAATCCAGCTCCATCCGTACTTGAAGAGCATGACCTTCAGTTATCCGCAGTTGAGCATCTAGTTCGCTACACCATGGCGGCTGCCCTTGTGCTTAAAAGGTGACTAATACTACAAAAAAGATGTTGCTGAAATCACATATGTTGGGTCAAAAGGTGTAGATATCACAGCCTAGCTGTAAACCACAGCTGGCCTTTTAACTGTGAACGAATCATCAGTTTGCAGATTATCAGCAATTCATTTTCTTACATCAGGATTGGCTATCGTCACCATTAAAAAAAAAAAAATCAGGAATAATTTTAATTCATAAACAAAATAGCAAGATCTCACAATAAAATCATCCTCATGATGGAAAAACAGAAACAGTGAATCCTGTCAGCTCAGCTACGGTGACTTTGTGTTCTTGATACTTTATAGCAGATGACAAAACATCATCATCATCTTCTTCGTAATCACCACCATCACCACTACCACCACCATTACCACAAAATCATCACTACCTCGACGATCATCATCACCACTACCATCACAACCATCATCACCACCTTACCCCCATTATCACCACCAACACCACTACCATCATCACCACCACCACCCTCATTATCATCACCACCACTACCATCATTATCACCACCACCACCCTCATTATCATCCCCACACCATCATTATCACCACCACCACCCTCATTATCATCACCACCACTACCATCATTATCACTACCACCACCCTCATTATCATCACCACCACTACCATCATTATCACCACCACCACCCTCATTATCATCACCACCACTACCATCATTATCACCACCACCACCCTCATTATCATCACCACCACTACCACAATCATCATCATCACCACCACCCTCATTATCATCACCACCACTACCACCATCATCATCACCACCACCACCCTCATTATCATCACCACCACCACCGTCATTATCACCACCACTACCACCATCATCATCATCACCACCAACCTCATTATCATCACCACCACTACCATCATCATCATCAATATTAACATCAAGGCGTGTTATCTAATCCTCTGTCTGCAGGTGCTACTCTGTATGGCCTAGCTACTGTGGGTGCGATGGGACCGATCACCAATTTGGGTTTTCTGGAAATCATGATTTTTTCCTCCCTTATTGTGGCAGTTGACCCTGTTGCTGTAAGTTGTGTGTGTTTATTAATACATGTGCCCGCTCCTACATCTGCACCCAGTTGCATTTTCACACAGATATTTAGTAAATGAATGTTCCTTGAATCTTTAACTCGTTCTATCTGATTTTTTTTTTTAAACTGGCAAATACTCAGATGTTGGTTTAAAACATTAGCGTAAAAAGTCTAAGGCAGACGTGGTTAGTGCCTAGTGGGAGAGCTTGTACAGTTCGGAGGAGCAGATGGATCACCACAGTCTGGTGAGATTGATGCAGGGGGAAGTGACGAGAGGTTCTGGCAGATGCTCAAGGCTCAGAGGAAAGGCAAAACGGACGTTTAATTATAATGCTGCTGGCACCGTTAGTATCGGAACTTTTTGCTGGCTGATGAAGATGGGGACGGAGCGTTTATGGGAATGCCCCGAGTGCTGTGATGTCGGTTCTTGAATCAAATCAAAATCAAATCAAATAAGAATAAAAAGTCTAAAAATGGTTTAAGTGACTAGTTTTTGATGGAAACTGGGGTGAAACAAAGCTGCATTTTGTCTCCCTTGTTGTTTGGAATAGCCTTTGATAGGGTGATGGGAAAAATGTTGCAAAGGCCATACTGGCATTGATTGGGTGGAGAATAGACAACTGGAAGATCTTTTCAGTAAAAATAACAGGACATGCAAAGAAAAACAGATGATTTGTCGTCTGCAGCATCAAAAATAGGACTACAGTTAAATTATGAGAAAACAAATATATTAAAGATACCAACAACGGATCATGTAGATGTCATGCTAGAGAACAAACCAAAAAAGTAATGGGCCATTTCACCTCTCAAGGAAGTATACAGAATAAAATTATGATGCACGTTGACAAAGCAACAACAGTCTTTAAAAGCCTTCACAACATATGGAGCTCCACCTTATACAACTTTAAAACCAAACTTCAGTTCTAACGTTATTTCATTTCTAACGTATGCCAACGAAAGTTGGAAAACCACCAAGGATACGGAACCAAAACTAAATACAATTGAAAATAGATGTCTGAGAAAAAAATCATGAACATAAAATTGGATGAATTCAAAAAAGAGTTAGGAGATCAGAGAAATGTCTGGACAAATGACTGTATCGACTGCAATAAGATAAAGAAGGTAGAGATATATTGGGCACACTCTTAGACGAAATGAGCAAAGAAATACAAAACAAGCACTGAAATGGGAAACAAGTGGCCTGAGAAAAAGAGGACTTTCAAGTGAAACATTAAGAAGAACATTATTAAAAATGCTGGGCTGAACTCCATGTCAGAAATCAAGAGAGTTGCATGCAATAGAGCGTAGTGGAGGAATCAGATGCAAGCTCTCTGTGACCTATGACGACACAAAGGATGATAATAATGATAACAGGCACAAATAAGCCATATATGTAAAACTGATGTGCACCAACAAAGTCTTATAACAAGACCAAAGTCCAGAATTGAAGGAATAACCAGAACTTTCTGCTGGAGTTTACACCAGTGAGGGAAACAATTTTTACTTTTAATTGCTTTTCTTGGTACTAGTTTGAAGCTTTTTATTTCTTTTTTTTTCCATAACTGTGAGCTGTAGATTTCGTTTAGAATACTTTTTTTTTCATTGCTTCCAGCATAGTTGCTGTTGTGAGCTGCAGATCAGAAAATGGTGAGTGGCCTGCTGCAACACTAGTAGTGCCTTGCAGACTGTTTATATTGGCACTTTTCATGACTGTCTTATGCATTGAATGCATGTGTATGCTATTGTCTTTGTCGGGACTGCAGTTTATTTTCATATTTTTTCACAAGGGTCAACAATGGAAATTCTATGTAGTTATTGTTGGCACAGGAATAGAACAACCTTGGGGTGACCCATATACCCTGGAGTTAGCACTGCACTTAACTGAATGTAACCATTTCTTTCTTCAGGTTCTGGCAGTGTTCAATGAGATTGGTGTGAACCATGTGTTGTACTTTCTGGTGTTTGGTGAATCTCTGCTGAACGGTAGGTACTGGTTCAATGTACTTTCTGGTGTTTGGGGAATCTCTGCTGAATGGTAGGTACTGGTTTGATGTACTTTCTGGTGTTTGGTGAATCTCTGCTGAATGGTAGGTACTTGTTTGATGTACTTTCTGGTGTTTGGTGAGTCTCTGCTGAATGGTAGGTACCTGTTTGATGTACTTTCTGGTGTTTGGTGAATCTTTGCTGAATGGCAGGTACTTGCTTGGTGTACTTTCTGGTGTTTGGTGAATCTCTGCTGAACAGTAGGTACTGGTTCAACTTTACTAGTGTCATCAAAGAACAACAAATGAAGTGGTTTGGACACCTAACAACAATGCCCTGGTACTATCTGCCACAGCAAGCCACATTAAAACGTTACAACGGGTATAGAGCGAGTGGAAGACCTTGAAAAATATGGAGTGATGGCATTAAGAATAGCCTTACAGAAATGAACATCAGTCTAAACAGTGCTCTTGACAGAGCTCATCAACGAATGTTACACCCCCCCCTCTCCCCCCCCCCCCCCGACACTTCGATAAGGTACAAGGTGGAAGAGAAGAAGAAAAAGAAGTACCTAGATGACCATTTGAAACAAATCCTGTATGGTTACGACAGCCTGTTCATTCTTTTCATCACACAAAACCATAGCTAACACAAGGTTACTTCATAACTTTTTTGTGGTGCTCCATTATAACCTTGCTGTATGGTTGAATGGGTTTTGCAGGATTTGAACCTGTTTAATTCTCAACTTTGAGATGGTAATCCTACAGCGTTCAATCCTGGAGGGGAAAAAACTTGAAACAAATACAGTCAGTTACAAATGTCTCTGGATATCTAAACTCTTAAAAACAAACAAAAAACTTACAATTAAAAAAATGTCTACACAAAGTGGCTTCTGAAGAGAAGATATGCAAGTCTAGATTATGTTATAGCTGTTGTTCAGTGCAGAAATAAACTCCTAAGGGTGCTGATCAGTATATGTCAGTTTATTTATCATTCGTTCCATTATGTTTACGTGTTATTGCAAGTCTTCTGGGTGCCATCATGTGGTGTGTCTTATAAATACTAGTCGTCCGCATGTGGGATGCAATTTTTCATTATTTGAAGCCCCACCCTGGCTTTTGCTGGGAGCCCTGAATATAGATGGGCCATAAATATGGCCTAACGACTGAAAGGGGTTTCTGGGCCCTCTCCACGGGTGATCCTCATCCGCATGGTGGCACTTTGTGTCACTGGGTGTTTTACACTTGTGTGATGTCCTGGTGGGGTACAACAATAGAGAGAGAGTGGTGAGTCTTATTTGTTCAATAAAGAATTAGCTTTTAAGTACTTCTTTTTCTGCCCTTTGTCCATCCAGTGGAACACAGTCCCTCAACTAAATCATGCCAAGTTGTCAAATTCTTTGCTATCGCATGCTGTTTACCCCATGCCGTCCCCATCTTTTAAACTCCAGTCTTTAGCTCCCTTCTCTGTATATTTTAAGTCTACCTTTATTTATATGGTCCTGTGGGTTCCAGTTTGAAGTACTGAAAATTGAAGTAGTAAATTTATTCACCAAAAAGAGTTTGTAAAAGAACAGTTTATGTATGTAATCAGAGCAATTGTATGGAGCAAAAACATGGAGAACAACTAAGGCAGTTAATAGTAAACTACAGACATTCATTAACTGGTGCCTACACAGAACAGAAGGAATTAAATGGCATGATAGAATCACTCATGTAGAGCTTTGGGAGAGAACTAAACAGGTTCCAGTGGACCAAGAGGTGAGGAAAAGACGCTGGCATTGGATAGGACACAATTTAAGAAAACCTGAATATGATGAAACAAAAATGTCTGTGCACTGGAAACCACAGGGGCATAGAAATAAAGGAAGACCAAAAACACATGAAGTAGGGAGTTAGAGGGCGGAGTTATAAAGATGGGGAGGACATGGGGAGACCTGCATGCGATAGCAAAGGATAGAACACCTTGGCTTGAGTTAGTTGAGGACCTATGCTTCATTTGGGGTTAAAAAGGCAGAGAAAGAGGAAGACATTTCCACTGTTCTGGTGAAATTCTACAATTTATAAAAGCAATCAGATCTGTAAAACGGATATGCATGTGAAAATCCAGCTCTGGAATAAGACCTAAGTTGGTAAGTGGACAAACAGACAGAACTCACAATGGACTTTACAGCTGGTGAGTGCTAAGAAGAAGATTGCAATAATAAGGCAGGCACAGTAAAGTAATGGTAAAGGTCCCTTTTCCACGCCTTTTAGGTGTATAGGGCATATAGGGCTAGACCTATATTTTATAGATCAATCAGCACAAGATGGGTGATGTGGTCAGCATCACACCGGCTGCCTTTACTTCCCAGGACAGCACCCTGTACCCACTCAAGGCTGGGTTTACCTGGGAGCCAAGGTCATTTTTGAAAAATGTCCGGCTCCGCTAGGGAGCAAACTCACGCCCTTCCGATCTGCGGTGATCAAGAAAGACATATGGTATGAGAAACCTCTAATGATTGCAGCAAAAAACTGACAGCCTGACTCAGTTGCTTTGTCTTTCCACAGATGGAGTGACTGTTGTTTTGTACAAAGTATTTCAAGCTTACAACTCCATGGATGAAATCACAAGTGTGCATGTGAGTATTTTTTAAAGATGCAAACAGAGAGTGAGAAACAATAGTAACATTCATTATCTGCTTAAATCAGTACTGGCAACATGAGGGCTAATAGACTGTGATGGTTGGGGCATATAGAGAGAGAGAATGGCAGATGACAGAGAAAACAAATGTGTGTACACTAAAGTGTTGATTGGGCATATGGCACGGGTCATACCAAGAAGACGGCATAGAGATAATGTGTATAGGCAGACCTAGAAACACTTGAAGTCACTGTCAAAGACCTCTGATTGACCTTGATGGTCCGTGGCCTCTGACAATCTGGCTAGTATAAACTGAACCTGGACGCACACATGACAGTCTTTAAACTTAAATGATTTCAGTAAATTTCATTGACATTGCTAACAGATCATAAACTTAAATGATTTCAGTAAACCTGTAATGATATTGCTAACAGATTGTGCTGGGAGTGGTCAAGTTCTTTGTGGTGTGCCTGGGTGGACTTTTGCTGGGAGTGTTGGCTGGCATAGCTTCTGCAGTGCTCACCAAGTTTGCTACTCATGTCAAAGGTATGACAGATCTCTGTCCTCTTGTGATTTACTGTACTTACTACTAAAAGTAATTTAAACAATGGTTCCTTGGTAAATTCATCTGATTTGTACATCTTGATATCCCTGTGTGGGTTCCGGTGGCCCATTGGTGGTGGTGGTGGGGAAGGGGGGATGAGAGAGAAGGAGGGGATAGACCCATTCTGTGAGAGTTTTTTAATTAGGGGTTTCCTTCAAAGCCGGAGTGCATCTGCCTGAGAGGCGAGGAACCAATAGTCTGCATACGGATAAGCCAGATCTGTAAAATGGATCTCTAGTGGATCTGGTTGTTCGTCCTCTTCTGAACTTTAGATTTAGTTCTGGAACATTGATTTTTGTGTGCACTTACGTTTAACAGATCTGGCCTATTTGTATGACCCTAATTAGTTGACTCTTAGGACATGCTTGTTAGAGAAGCAGTGGGGTCTATTCTTGTTTTTTACCCTCTCAAATCGGGCCACGGAACCCACACGGGAAATTATGGTGAATGAGTGAAAAAATATTAAGACTAATAGTGATTCTTCATTTTCTTTCTTCATTTCTTAATTCTTTTGTTGTCATTGTTCCAAAAACATTAGCAGCCACAACAGCAACAATAACAACAGTGAAAATAACAATAATAATAGAAATAATGGCTCTCCTTTCAAATACGGCCGGTAGACAACAGTAGACGGCCAGTTAGTCGGAGTTCTGTCCCCTGGCTGCAGTGCAATTACGGACTGGAGAAGGCACGGATCAGAAAACACAGTGAGGTCGACATGACTGGCAGACCCCGCGCTGCGACTCAAATTAGCGACCGTGTTCAATTACCGCTTCTTGCGACGCATTACGGAGTGGAATAGAGGGAACGAAACAAGTGACACAATTACTGTGTGTTGGCGATAGACAGCGTGCAGTGCCCTACTGTCATCATAGGGTTAGGTTTTGGGTTAGGGTGAGGGTTAGGGTTAAGGTTTGGGTTGCTACTATGAGTTTGTGCGAAGACGAGATTTAGCGACACTAACCGTAACCCTAACCCACACCCTAACCCTAACCCACATCTTACCCCTACCCCTAACCCAAACCTTAACCCAAACCGTAACCGTATGATTATAGCAGGGCAGTGCACACTGTCTATCGCCAACACACGGTAATTATGTCTTTTGTTTCGTTCCCTCCTTTCCACTCCATAATTGCACTGCAGCAAGGGGACAGAACTCCGACTAACCGGCCGTCTACTGTTGTCTACCGGCCGTAGTTGAAAGAAAAGCCGAAATAATATAGTACATGAAACTGTGTGACTAATATGTGTGCATGTTTGTTCCACAGTGGCCCAGCCAATCATCATTTTCACAATGGCATACCTTGGTTTTCTGGTCGCTGAGCTGTTTGAATTCTCTGGGATTATCAGGTAAACCCAGGCACTTTAGAACACATTCACACTCACTCACTCCCTCACTTACTCACTCACTCACTCACTCACTCACTCACTCACTCACTCACTCACTCACTCACTCACTCACTCACTCACTCACTAACTCACTCACTCACTCACTCACTCACTCACTCACTCACTCACTCACTCACTCACTCACTCACTCACCTACTCTCACTCACTCACCTACTCTCACTCACCTACCTACTCACTCACTCACTTACTCACCTACTCACTCACTCACTCACTCACTCACTCACTCACTCACTCACTCACTCACTCACTCACTCACTCACTCACTCACTCACTCACTCACTCACTCACTCACTTCCTCACTCACTCACTCACTCACTTCCTCATTCACTCACTCACTAACTCACTAACCTACTCACTCACTCACTAACCTACTCATTGAATGTCTGACTGACTGACTCACTTCTTGACTGATTAACTCACTCAGTAATTGACTCACACACTCACTCACTCACTCACTGACTCATCCACTCACTGAATGTTTGACTGACTGACTCGCTCAGTAAATGACTGACTTACTCTCTGATTCTCTCACTGACTAACTCACCTACTCACTTAGTGACTCAGTCAGTCAGTCAAACAATCGGTTAATCACTCAGGTGCAATCTCCGCAGTAAAGGGTGCCAGGTATGGATTTCCAACACTCTGTGTCTGTTGTCCTGATTTTACACTCCCTGAGATAGCAGTTCTCAATATTAACCTTCCACTTATATCACTGTCTACCTCTTGCTGACTTGTTCTCAACTTTCCCAGACCAGTATATTTCTTTTTTTTAATATTGTTATTCTGTCTTTTGATGTTATAGAAAAGTATTTGTCTTTAAAAAAAAAAATTACCTCAGAAACTTCTTTTATTACAAGTTCCTCATAACCTCTGTTTGATTGGTGTTTTTGCTTTAAAGAATGACTTCAATATATAAATTGTAGCTTTCATCTGCTCATGTGAAGGAGACAGTTTTTTTTTATATATGTAAGAGTAAGAAAAAGTGCTAAAGAGTTTAATTGAAACTGACACATCATCATGTAGCAGGTTCCTTATAAAATATTACTTTTATCAAGGTTTGCCGGAATAAAACTCAGTCTCTTTTTACCAGGTCTACCGCCTTTTCACTTTCCATGTGGATTCTGGGACCTGATTGTGGGGGGGGGGGGGGGGGGGGGGGATAGACCCGCTGCCTCACTAACTCGTTTGTCATTAAAGGCAACTAATTAGAGGTTTCCCGTCGAAGTGCATCTGCCTGAAAGGCGAGGAACCAACAGTCTGCATACATGTTCTGTTAAATAGATATGCATGCAAATTTAAGTTCTAGAACAGGACTAAAATTCAAGAGTGGATAAACAACCAGAACTATCTGCTGGAGTTTACAGCTTGTGATCACTAAAAAGAAAAAAGAAAAAAAAAAAATTGTAATCAAGCGAAGGGAATACAAAGAGATACATACCTAAATGCTTGGAAATATGTATTGTGTAAGTAAAGTACAATATAAAGGATCCTTATTATACTGTTGATGGATCAGGCATTTATTCCAAGAAATTGTTCTTCTTCTTCAGCATTCTGAGCCCTTGAGGTTCATTGCTGCAGATATCACCCACCTCCATTCATCTCTCTAGTTGGCCAAGTGTTTGTAGGTCTTACGTGATATTATCTCTCCGTCATCTTCTTGGTCTGCCTCGTGGTCTACGACCATTCAGCTCCCTTGTGTATTCAAGGTATATACAGTTTTTACCTGAACCAAAAATTGTTATCATGTAATAATTCCCCAGTATCGTTGGCTGCGGGCTAATCCAGATACAATATGCCTTCAACAACATCAGTGAGAAATCTCGCACTACCATCAAATACTTCACCAAGGTTATCAGGTATGTCCACTGTGCTTTCTGTGTTGTTTGTCTTTGTGGTGTCAATAGTTCTGTTTTCTTTATTAATCTTTAGGTTTTCCTACCTAGTGTGTGGCTTTGGCATTGTGAATGCACTTCGTAGTGCTGAGGTGTAGGGTTCAATCCCAGCTGCAGGCATTTGGGCAGCAGATCCGGTTACACTGGCTTTGCCAGTGGTATCAAGTGCCAACCTTTGAGAAGCAATGGCAAACTACTGAAAGTAAACTTGCTTACTAAAATCATAAACAGCTAAAAAATGATGGGTTGGTTCTGCAAGTCCTGTAAGGACACACAACTAATTATGTTGTACAGGAGAGCCATGATGGCATAGCAGTTAGATACTCAACTGCCAGCCTGAAGATCTTGAGTTTGAAGATGCATTGAGTCAGATGTTTTTGAGAAATTGCCTTGGCTGCAGGGTTGACCCAGACTAAAAAGGTGCAAGGAAAAATCCTGGGCAGTTAGCTTGATGTTGACCACATCATCCACTGAGTGCTCAGTGGTCAACAAACTAGGTGTCTAGCATCCTCTGCCCAGTGTGCCATTGGTAAAAAATAGGTCTTCACATTTTTTTATTTACCATTCGGTTGACGGAGCAGGACCAGTATTGAGTTAGATTCCAAGACAAGAAGAAAAAAAAAGCTGTGCCGACTTAAAGAGACTGCCTTCTAATGAATTAACATACAAGATATATACCACAACAAGATTTAAGTGCTTTGTTCTTCCTCTAACTCAAGTCTGAATTTTGAAGAAGCTCAGCACAGTGCACAAGCTCTGTAGCACCGGCGAGGATCCTCACGCAGCCCCAAACACAAGAGCAGAGGGATGTAGAAGATTAGGTAGACTAAGAACAAAGTGGAAATATAGGATCAGAGAAGCTCTACTAGAGTATCAAATATATTTGGTTGAAGTGACCAAAAGAGCAAGAGCCAGAACATTTTTATCTCCTTCGACTCCCAAAGCCATATGAAAGAGTTGAAATGTTAAAAATTTGAATTTTTCTTGGAGTGATTGTGAGGGGAGTATCTTGGGATGAGTGCAGCGTTTAGGTTGTTTATGATGAATGAATTTTTATAGGAAATGAATGAGAAAAAAATATTTGTCGAAATGCATCAGAAAATGTTGATCAAAATGCATGAGAGAATGTTGGTCAAAATTCCTGAGAATTTTGAGTTGGAAATGCATGAGAGAGAATGTTGATAGAAATGATTGAGAGAGAATATTGATAGCAAATGCATAAGAGAGAATGTTGGTAGAAAATACAGGAGAGAGAATGTTGGTGGAAATGCATAAAAGAGAATGGTGATGGAAATGCATGAGAGACACTGGTGATCGAAATGCATGAGAAACACTGGTGATCGAAATGCATGAGAAACACTGGTGAACGAAATGCATGAGAGAGAACGATGATCAAAATGCATGGGAGAGAATGTTGGTATGAAATTAATGAGAGAGATGATGATTGAAATGCATGAGAGAGAATGTTGGTCGGAAATTATTGAGAGAGAATGGTGATTGAAAATGCATGAGAGAGAATGTTGGTAGGAAATGCATGCTGTGTATGAGAGAGAATGTTAATAGGAAATGCATGAGAGAGAATAGTGATTGAAAAGCGTGAGATAGAATGTTGGTAGAAAATACAGGAGATGTTTTTGTTGGTGGAAATACATGAAAGAGAATAGTGATTGCAAAATGCATGAGAGAGAATGTTGATAGGAAATGCCTGAGAATGAATGGGAATACACAGTTACTGTTAAAGTAGTGAGGAACTATGAACCAGTCAAAAACCTAATGTAATGAGTCTGGCAAAAATTAATGCGCAACTGGTCAGGAAAAACTCATCACAGTGCATGAATTCCGAGGCACCAGTGAGGATCCACATATATGTAAATCAGAATGATCTTCTTCTTCTTTTGTCGTCTCACAGATATCAGGTTGTAATCTAGTATTGGGATTGTCTGTATTTGTCTTGTTCATCTTGGGTGGCTTGGGTGATGGTTTTGTTCATCTTTTTTTTTACAGGTTTCAGCTACATCATTTATCCATCTCTTTCTTGGTCTTCCTTGGTCTTTCCTTCGCCTTCCTCCCATATATTCTGCTGCAGAAAGTCTCATATGCAGTTTGGTCTGGCTGAATTCTCACTAGATGGCCACACCATTTAATTCTTTATGTGTCAGTATAATTCAGACATTGTCTTATTCCAACTTTCTCTCTAATGCTGGTGTTCGTAACCCTGTCCCTTCTTGTGTACGGAGACTGCACATTTCACAGGTAATTTTCTGTTGTAGTGCTCTATTCATTGCAGTCAGATCCTACATGCAATAACAATTTTTTTAGGATTTTCAGTTTTTTTTTTGGGGGGGGGTTCTCCTTTTTCTTCTTCCTCTTCTTTGCAGCTGACATATTTTGGTTTACATCTAAGCTGTGATCTGCACATCTCAGCCCAACACATCCAATTTTAGCAAACCCTAATTAGTGGCGTTTTGCAGCATACTTGGGGGCTGTGGATCTATTGTCCACCCTCACACCCTTTTATGCTCAAAGGGGCTGCACAACCCACATGATGAGGAGAGAGGATCTGTTGTTTAAAAAAAAAACAAATTATTATTATTCAGTTTAACTAGACTGATAAATGGCATGTTTTTGCTTTTTAAATTTTTCAGTTCAGCAAATGAGATAATTATTTTCTTGTTTCTGGGGTTATCGTTGGTCAATGATGATCATGACTGGCATACCGGCTTCACAATCTGGACCATAGTTTTATGTCTGGTTTATCGGTTTATCAGTAAGTGTTCTTATTGTAGTTTTCTTTTCATATGTTTATTATCTTGTAGTTTTGGCCGATTTTCACCAAAGTGCATTTTCATGGCTCTTCTTTGTTACTTTATAATATGCCAAAGGCACACATGTGAATTTTTACTCCAGATTGGTAAGATTGAAGTACTACTGGTTATTTAACTACACTTCACATGTTCCGAGGCCATATCTTGAGGGAAACACAAATAGACCCACTGTCTTTCGCAACAGGCATGTCGTAGAAGTCGACAAATTGGGAGCATCCTTTGAAGTTGAAATGCATCTGCCTGAGAGGCAAGGAACCAACAGTCTGCATACAAATAATCCTGATCGGTTTTTACACACATGCACATGCACACACACACACACACACAATGATGGGCATGCGACACTTAGGTTCTGGAACAAGAAGAAAGTCCGGACGTGCACAAAAAACTATAACTTTCTACCATAGTTTGAAGCTGGTGAACGTGAAGAAGAAAAAGAAGACTTAACTGCACAATTTTAACTTACCACTCAGTTTAAATGCACTTTCTGCACTTCACGAACCTACAACCTTCCGATCCGCAGGCGAGCCTCCAGCCATTACACCATGGTGGCTCCGCATTGTTGCAATTCATCATCATCAATTCTCTTTATGCCCAGTGGCACGTGAGGCTTTAGAAAGGACTTTCCATGCTTTCATTGTTGCAGTTGGATGTGTTTAATTGCTTCTTCTCTCATGCTCAGCTCTTATTCTACCTGCATTCATTCTCTTCTTGATTGATGTTCACTTCATTCCCGCCATGCAACGCAGTCCGTCCATGACATTCTGTTCTCTGGAATCTACATCAATACTTGTATCATCCATGTCTTGAGAGCGGCGCTTAAAGCACAAATTCCATAGCTTCAGCGACGATCCCCAGAGATCTTTGTAAAATTGCACACGTGAACTGAATGACGCAGCTGTGAATCAAACCCATGACCTTCAGAGCGTGATGCAAACGGCTTGACCATGTCACCACAGAGACACCCATACCCCCAGAGGATCCTTTACTTTATGCTTGTCTTTCATGTTTCTGTGTTTCTCTAGTGTTCTTAGTTGATGGAAACACATACAATCAGATACAGAGGCTTTATTTAGACAATGAAGAATAAGCAGGAGGAGGACAAAGATGATAAAAAACAAATAAAAAGAAGATAGAGAATCAGAAAAACAGTAAAAATTAGAAAAAAGAGTCCATAAATAAAGAGCGGAGGATGGTTAATAAGAAGAAAAAGGGAGGGAAGATGTAGTTCCTAACATTTTACTGTTTCTGATGCATTTTCTCAATTTTGTTTTTTTGCAGTCATTTTTGCCATGTCCTCGGCCATCAACATGTTTGATCTCTACAGAGTGAGGAAGATCAGCATTCATGAGCAGTTCATGATTGTGAGTTGTCCCTTCTGTAATGTTTTCATGTCAGGGTTGATTGTAGGATTCACTTACGTGATGTTTATTACATGTTATAACTGATTGTGAGTTGTCCCTTCTATAATATTTTCATGTCAGAATTGATTGTAGGATTCACATAATTTAACTTTATGTTATAACTGATTGTGAGTAGTCACTTTGGTAAGGTTTTCTTGTCACAACTGATTGTAGGATTGTAAGGATTCATATGTGATGTTAACCTTATGTCATAATATTTTTTTTATAGGATTCACACATATGATGTTAATATCATGTCATACCTGATTTTAGGATTTACTTATTTAAGTTTATGTTAGAATTGATTGTAGGATTCATTTATTGAGTGCTAACTTCATGTCAGAATTGGTTACTGAAACCACTTATGTTAAGTTCTTGTGAGAACTGAATGAGGGATTCATTTATGTAATGTTAACCTCATACCATGTTTTCCCCTTTATACATGTTGTCCCACTTTTACATATGTCTCACCATTACATATTGTGTCGCTATTGCATGTTGTCCTACTTTTACATATAAGTGTATGTCTTACCATTACATATTGTGTCGCTATTGCATGTTGTCCTACTTTTACCAATAAGTGTATGTCTCACCATTACATATTGTTTCACTATTGCATGTTGTCCTACTTTTACATATAAGTGTATGTCTCACCATTACATATTGTGTCGCTATTGCATGTTGTCCTACTTTTACATATAAGTGTATGTCTCACCATTACATATTGTTTCACTATTGCATGTTGTCCTACTTTTACATATAAGTGTATGTCTCACCATTACATATTGTTTCACTATTGCATGTTGTCCTACTTTTACATATAAGTGTATGTCTCACCATTACATATTGTTTCGCTATTGCATGTTGTCCTACTTTTACATATAAGCGTATGTCTTACCATTACATATTGTGTCGCTTTTGCATGTTGTCCTACTTTTACCAATAAGTGTATGTCTCACCATTACATATTGTTTCACTATTGCATGTTGTCATACTTTTACATATAAGTGTATGTCTCATCATTACATATTGTTTCGCTATTGCATGTTGTCATACTTTTACATATAAGTGTATGTCTCATCATTACATATTGTTTCGCTATTGCATGTTGTCCTACTTTTACATATAAGTGTATGTCTCATCATTACATATTGTTTCACTGTTGCATGTTGTCCTACTTTTACATATAAGTGTATGTCTCACCATTACATATTGTTTCGCTGTTGCATGTTGTCCTACTTTTACATATAAGTGTATGTCTCACCATTACATATTGTTTCGCTATTGCATGTTGTCCTACTTTTACATATAAGTGTATGTCTCACCATTACATATTGTTTCGCTGTTGCATGTTGTCCTACTTTTACATATAAGTGTATGTCTCACCATTACATATTGTTTCGCTGTTGCATGTTGTCCTACTTTTACATATAAGTGTATGTCTCACCATTACATATTGTTTCGCTGTTGCATGTTGTCCTACTTTTACATATAAGTGTATGTCTCACCATTACATATTGTTTCGCTGTTGCATGTTGTCCTACTTTTACATATCATCTCTTGTTACACATTACCCCACTGTTAAATACTGTCCTGCTTTTACATATTGCCTCATTGTTACATATTTTGATACTGTTAAAAATTATGTCACTGTTACAAATTTTCCCACTGTTACATATTTTCCCAATTTTACATATTTTCCCAATTTTACATATTTTGTTACTGATTGTTACAAACCATTTGACTACTCCCTGAAATATAGTCTTATGGTGGAATCCGAGGGGCCGTATGTTTTTCCCTGGTGGCTCTCCTGGACCCGCGAGACCTGCCCTGTAAAAACATGTTCGTTACTACCACCCTGGCCGTCATCATGTTCACCGTGTTTATACAGGTAAGTCAGCCTGGCTCTCTAGCGTAGTTGGCTAAACCGGATTGCGCGGAGACCGGGTGACGAACTCCTTGTGGTCCGGGTTCAATTCCGGGAGTAGGCAGGAAAGCCATATTATCTCCCAGATTTACGGTATTTACAATGGAATCAAGGCCGAAAGGTTGCGATATCCATAATACCGAGCCTAAGGGTTAACAACCCATGGCTTCTGGATACTAAAACAAATATACAAGTCTGGCGGCTGTTGACTTCAGGATGTATTGATGTTTTGGAAGCATTGCTTTTGTGAAATATAGAATTATTTTATAAAATATTGATTTTTTGAATATTGGTCCTTAAAATAAATACAGACTTCTTAAAATACTGATGTAGTAAGGTACATATTAGACACTGAGGATAGTGTGAATGTATTTTTTTTAAATGGTTGGATTTTTAGTTTTTGCCCTTGCCTGCACAGAATACAATGATTTTAATAACAATAAAAAGTACAAATTCTTTTTCTTCACGTTCACGAGCTGTAAACCAACTGCTCCAGACCCTGAGTGTTGCATGTACATCTGTTTCACAGATGTTGCTTATTTGTATGCAGACTTGTGGGATGTCCCCATTTAGTCTACTTCTACAACATGCTTGTTGGTTTTTTTCTTGTTTTCCCCACAATGAGGGCCTGGAACTGACACAGGAAAAAAGTGCAATCCAGCACCAATTCAAAGGAAAATGAATACAGATTTGAAATATGTAAACTTGTAAACACTTATATTTACATTTCATACTCTGTTCTTGGATTACACAGGTGGTTCATTTTTAGTGTGCTTCATTATAGTAATAGTTATAATAGTAATAATCTTATATTTGATCCAGGGCATCACTATCAAGCCGCTAGTACATCTGCTACGTATTACCTTGGCTCCAGAGAAAGTGCAGTCCATGTACCAGGAACTTAATTTACATGTAAGTACCCACACCAGTATTCTCTTGATTGTGTGGTGGGTTTCCCCTTGACTTCCTGCCACACACGAGAGATCTACAATATTCTGTTATGGGCGACTTCTAATTTATGGAATGTTTCTTTTTATAGAGATCTCTGGGGATCATCGCCAGAGCTATGGAGTTCACGTTCTGTGTGCGGTGCTCTCAGCAGGCAGAGAGAGACGGAGCCACGTGGGATCAAAACCCGATGCAGTGAAGTCGATCCTCTCAACTTTAACCTTTATGTTACTGTGGAGAGATGGAAAGGTGCCAACATACCACTTTCCAGGGTTGTTTTAGATTTACAGGACTGACAGTTATCTCCACAGTCTCTGAGCAGGAGTGGCCCCTACTTACATTCAGCAGTATGAACCACCCATTAACATCTCAATGGCTTTTTTCATTAACTTGTCCCAGGTAGATTTAGAGCAGAAACCCAATTTAGCACAATAATCACAGTGAATAAGGCATCAGTAAGTGACTTTTAAAGATACAATCTTTACTGAACTGCATTTTATAGTTAGCCAGATTTCTTTTGCATACCCACACCAAACATGAAATAAATAATAACACTCAATGTGTTGCATTGATACACATAATCATAAGGCATGTTGCTTTGGGCAACAAGAATAAATAAAAATTGAGACAAATCATCTGTTACATTTACACTGCAGTGTCACACGATGTGCTGGTGCAGTGGCCAGACATAGTGCCTGCTGGCCACATGCTCATGAATTCAAATCCCCATCAAGGTGGGAAAGTTTGTGTTTGTTTTTAAAGCAACCTTAACTACATTGAAAAGATAGGGAGGCCATGGAGTGAGTTACATGCAATAGCAGAGGATAGGACAGCTTAGCATTAGCTGGTTGATGACCTATCGCCATTAGTGGATACAGGGCAGAAGAAGAAGATGAAGAAACCTTGACTCAATATGACCCAGTTAAGAAGTATACCAGGAAATGATAGGAGAAGCAAAGGTGGCTTGCCGTTTATAACCTATCAAGTACCGATTGGACTGTAACAATGTGGGGTTGAATACACACTTCTTCAGCATTCCAAGCCCTTGAGGTTTATTGATGCTGAAATCAGCCATCTCCATCTCTCTCTCTGATTGGACCTGTCTATCCACTTGCTGACTCCAAGTTTTTTTTGTTGTTGTTTAGGTTAGACTGGATATTATCTTTCCACTAGGGCCTGCCTCATGGTTTGCAGTCATTAAACTCTATTGTGTACTACCTTTTTACCTCTCTATCGTCTGTCATTCTCTCTCTCTGTGCCTAGCCTTTCAGTTTATTAGCTCTCATGATGACATGATGCCAGTGATCAGTGGTGATTTAAACAGATTGTGAATTATTTTTTAGCTTCTGAATCTACATTCCAAACTTTTTGCATCTTTGATGGGTGCAAAGATTTATCCTAAGAATATTTTCAATACTTTCTAAAAAGGTTTTCTTATGATAACCATTTTCCTTTGAAAAAGAAAATGTTAATTTCTGAAGTCTTTTCAAGGTCCAGAGAGATGGCCTGTGTGTAAGCTAACACTGTATACTTAATTTGTCTCAAGACAAAGATAATGGTTCTTGACTTATTTCAAAAACAATTAATTCTAGGTCACTGATCATATCATGGCTGGAATAGAGGACATCATTGGTGATCATGGGAGAAACCACTTGAGGGTAAGATCTTGTCTTGTTAAATTGTAGCCATTGTCTGATGCCTGTCTACAAACTGTGTGCTGTCTGATTATTGTCTGATGCCTGTCTACAAATTGTGGGCTGTCTGTTCATTGTCCGATGCCTGTCTACAAACTGTGGGTTGTCTGTTCATTGTCTGATGCCTGTCTACAAACTGTGGGCTGTCTGTTTATTGTCTGATGCCTGTCTACAAACTGTGGGCTGTCTGTTCATTGTCTGATGCCTGCCTGCAAACTGTGGGCTGTCTGTTCATTGTCTGATGCCTGTCTACAAACTGTGTGCTGTCTGTTCATTGTCTGATGCCTGTCTACAGTCTGTGTGCTGTCTGTTCATTGTCTGATGCCTTTCTACAAAGTGTGTGCTGTCTGTTCATTGTCTGATGCCTGTCTACAGTCTGTGTGCTGTCTGTTCAGTGTATGATGCCTGTCTACAGTCTGTGTGCTGTCTGTTTATTGTCTGATGCCTGTCTACAAACTGTGGGCTGTCTGTTCATTGTCTGATGCCTGTCTACAAGCTGTGGGCTGTCTGTTCATTGTCTGATGCCTGTCTACAAACTGTGGGCTGTCTGTTCATTGTCTGATGCCTGTCCACAAACTGTGGGCCGTCTGTTCATTGTCTGATGCCTGTCTACAAACTGTGGGCTGTCTGTTTATTGTCTGATGCCTGTCTACAAACTGTGGGCTGTCTGTTCATTGTCTGATGCCTGCCTGCAAACTGTGGGCTGTCTGTTCATTGTCTGATGCCTGTCTACAAACTGTGTGCTGTCTGTTCATTGTCTGATGCCTGTCTACAGTCTGTGTGCTGTCTGTTCATTGTCTGATGCCTTTCTACAAAGTGTGTGCTGTCTGTTCATTGTCTGATGCCTGTCTACAGTCTGTGTGCTGTCTGTTCAGTGTATGATGCCTGTCTACAGTCTGTGTGCTGTCTGTTTATTGTCTGATGCCTGTCTACAAACTGTGGGCTGTCTGTTCATTGTCTGATGCCTGTCTACAAGCTGTGGGCTGTCTGTTCATTGTCTGATGCCTGTCTACAAACTGTGGGCTGTCTGTTCATTGTCTGATGCCTGTCCACAAACTGTGGGCCGTCTGTTCATTGTCTGATGCCTGTCTACAAACTGTGGGCTATCTGTTCATTGTCTGATGCCTGTCTGCAAACTGTGGGCTGTCTGTTCATTGTCTGATGCCTGTCTGCAAACTGTGGGCTGTCTGTTCATTGTCTGGTGCCTGTCTACAAACTGTGTGCTGTCTCTTCATTGTCTGATGCCTGTCTAAAAACTGTGGGCTGTCTGTTTATTGTCTGATGCCTGTCTACAAACTGTGGGCTGTTCATTGTCTGATGCCTGTCTACAAACTGTGTGCTGTCTGTTCATTGTCTGATGCCTGTCTACAAACTGTGTGCTGTCTGTTCATTGTCTGATGCCTGTCTACAAACTTTGGGCAGTCTGTTCATTGTCTGATGCCTGTCTACAAACTGTGGGCTGTCTGTTCATTGTCTGATGCCTGTCTACAAACTGTGGGCTGTCTGTTCATTGTCTGATGCCTGTCTGCAAACTGTGGGCTGTCTGTTCATTGTCTGATGCCTGTCTACAAACTGTGTGCTGTCTCTTCATTGTCTGATGCCTGTCTACAAACTGTGGGCTGTCTGTTTATTATCTGATGCCTGTCTACAAACTGTGGGCTGTTCATTGTCTGATGCCTGTCTAAAAACTATGTGCTGTCTGTGCATTGTCTGATGCCTGTCTACAAACTGTGGGCTGTTCATTGTCTGATGCCTGTCCACAAACTGTGGGCCGTCTGTTCATTGTCTGATGCCTGTCTACAAACTGTGTGCTGTCTGTTCATTGTCTGATGCCTTTCTACAAAGTGTGTGCTGTCTGTTCATTGTCTGATGCCTGTCTACAGTCTGTGTGCTGTCTATTCATTGTCTGATGCCTGTCTACAGACTGTGTGCTGTCTGTTTATTGTCTGATGTCTGTCTACAAACTGTGGGCTGTCTGTTCATTGTCTGATGCCTGTCTGCAAACTGTGGGCTATCTGTTCATTGTCTGATGCCTGTCTACAAACTGTGTGCTGTCTGTTTATTGTCTGATGCCTGTCTACAAACTGTGTGCTGTCTGTTCATTGTTTGATGCCTGTCTACAAATTGTGGGCTGTCTGTTTATTGTCTGATGCCTGTCTACAAACTGTGGGCTGTTCATTGTTTGATGCCTGTCTAAAAACTATGTGCTGTCTGTTCATTGTCTGATGCCTGTCTACAAAGTTTGAGCTGTCTGTTCATTGTCCGATGCCTGTCTACAAACTGTGGGCTGTCTGTTCATTGTCTGATGCCTGTCTGCAAACTGTGGGTTGTCTGTTCATTGTCTGATGCCTGTCTACAAACTGTGTGCTGTCTGTTCATTGTCTGATGCCTGTCTACAAACTGTGGGCTGTCTGTTCATTGTCTGATGCCTGTCTACAAACTGTGGGTTGTCTGATTATTGTTTGATGCCTGTCTACAAACTGTGGGCTGTCTGTTCATTGTTTGATGACTGTCTATAAACTGTGGGCTGTCTGTTCATTGTTTGATGCCTGTCTACGAACTGTGTGCTATCTGTTCATTGTCTGATGCCTGTCTACAAACTGTGGGCTGTCTCTTCATTGTCTGATGCCTGTCTACAAGCTGTGGGCTGTCTGTTCATTGTCTGATGCCTGTCTACAAACTGTGGGCTGTCTGTTCAATGTCTGATGCTTGTCTACAAACTGTGGGTTGTCTGTTCATTGTCTGATGCCTGTCTACAAACTGTGGGTTGTCTGTTCATTGTCTGATGCCTGTCTACAAACTGTGGGCTGTCTGTTCATTGTCTGATGCCTGTCTACAAACTGTGGGCTGTCTGTTCATTGTCTGTGGGCTGTCTGTTCATTGTCTGGTGCTTGTCTACAAACTGTGGGCTGTCTCTTCATTGTCTGGTGCCTGTCTACAAACTGTGGGCTGTCTGTTCATTGTCTGATGCCTGTCTACAAACTGTGGGCTGTCTCTTCATTGTCTGGTGCTTGTCTACAAACTGTGGGCTGTCTGATCATTGTCTGATGCCTGTCTACAAACTGTGGGCTGTCTGTTCATTGTCTGGTGCCTGTCTACAAACTGTGGGCTGTCTCTTCATTGTCTGGTGCTTGTCTACAAACTGTGGGCTGTCTGTTCATTGTCTGATGCCTGTCTACAAACTGTGGGCTGTCTCTTCATTGTCTGGTGCTTGTCTACAAACTGTGGGCTGTCTGTTCATTGTCTGATGCCTGTCTACAAACTGTGGGCTGTCTGTTCATTGTCTGGTGCCTGTCTACAAACTGTGGGCTGTCTGTTCATTGTCTGGTGCTTGTCTACAAACTGTGGGCTGTCTCTTCATTGTCTGGTGCCTGTCTACAAACTGTTCTATGAGTTCAATCTCTAATGCTAGTCTATAAACTATTGTGTCCGATCATGTTTTATTACCTGTGAACATTAGCCTGTAATATTTGCCTATCAGCACTGAACCTCTTATATCTGTCTTCCAGTTGCTATTACCAGTGTGCAAAAGTGACAGTTGTTTGTTCTCCAGTTTTTCAGATAGGACATGGAGGAACATTTCATTTGATTTTCACTGCCACAGGAATGGAGCAAGTATAGGGTGAGCCTATTGCAGTGAAGTTGAAACTTTGACTAAGACTAATGGGCCAAAGTACTCAACAAATATGACTTGATGGTCTGATTGTGCATCCATACTGTTCACTTGCTGCCAACGCGGGCTTTGACAACATCTAGCTTGTGATGCATCAGTTTATCGCTGAGTGGGGCAGAACCAGCCTGCCCGTCTGTTTGCATGTCCGTTATCTAGACTTCTTAACCCTAACCATCTTCTGAAAAAGACAGTATATGTGGGCACGCCACAGGTGCTGTACGTCAGTGTTGAATGTTGACTATAGGGCTTTGTGTGTGCGTACGTGCGCGTGCGTGTGTGTGTATATATAGTGCTGTACGTCGGTGTTGAATATAGTGCTGTGTGTGTGTGTGTGTGTATATATATACATATATATATAGTGCTGTACATCAGTGGTTAGTTACAAATTCTGACATTTTTAAATGAAACCATGTTTTTTCTTTGTTAGGTTGAATATTTGTGAAATCTACATCCGGACAGTATATTATATATTAGGATACTGCGTGCTGTCAGCATGGCGTCCACCTCAAGTGCTGGAGGTCCTGGGTTCAAGCCCTGGTGAAGACTGGAATTTTTCACGTGTTCATTTAGTAATTTCTCCTGGTCTCTGGGTAGTAAGATTGGACGTCCGTGTGTATTGTTGCGCACATAGAACATCCCTTGGCAGTTAGAAGTTGAAAAAGAATAGCCTTACGTCACTGCCCGGGCAAAATTTGGAGTTGAAAATCTACCCAAAGTATTTCAGGATCCCTGCTAGTGCTACAAAGTTCGTGCACTGCGCTGAGATTCTTCGTACTCAGGCTTGAGTTAGAAGTAGAACGGAGAACTTATGGGTTAAACGTTGTGCCATAATATTGGTCTGTTGTACAAACATAAACATATACACATAAACATATTCTATCTACTTACACAGGAAAAGTTTAAACTGTTTGACGGCAAGCACTTGAAACCACTACTACAAGTGGCCCCAGAACCTAAAAATGTCCGCTTGATCGCCTATTTTGACAATTTGATTCTAAAGTAGGTCTGATGTGCTTTTATTACCACTTTCTGTCTCACACACTTTTTTAACATTTGTTTTCTTTGTTCAGGAATTGTAGTCAGTTGTTGGTAGTCGAAGTTTCTACTTCACTGCCGACAGACAACACATCATTGCAATGTTCCTGTGTCACTGAAAATCGTACAAATTGTAATTTTCTGTGACATTCAAAGACTATTGAACAAACAATTCACCCTGACAAAATCCAGAAGCATACACACAGAGTAAATGCATAAGGCAGCAGCTGGAGGTGCCCACACCCACAGTCCGCCA